CTGTCCCCCGGGCAGGTCTGCCAGAGCCAGCACACCCGTCCCCCCTCACAGGGCACGGGGACAGAGACCCCCTCGCAGCTCAACGCACCCGCTGGGCCAGCACTGGCACAGTCGGTGCCAAATCTGTCTGCGGGAGGACGGCACGCGGCACGGCCTCCTGCCCAGGACAGCGCTCGGGACCCTTCCCTGCCCCACTGCCCGGGAGGTCCCGGGTCAGGAGGTGTGGGGGCAGGTGGCCCCTCCGGCCCCAGCAGCGCAGAAGCTGACAGGGCTGTAGGGGAAGAGGGGGGCAGGGGGTGCCCAGCCAGAGCAGGAAGGGCCGAGTGGGGACAGATTTTGGAGCCAAGTATGAGCCATGCATGGGCCCCGGCAGTGGAGGCAGCCGGGTCGGAGCCCCCCTGACTGCCCTGACTGCGGCTCCAGTGGAGGGAGATGCTGGTGCTGATGTTCAGTAAATCCACCTGGGCTGTCCAGTCCCGACCCCTCTGCCCTCACCTAGGATTTATTGTCTTCATTTATTTTAGAGAGACTGTACATGGAATTAAAAGATTTTGGCAGGAACCTACCTCTGAGTGCCCCATAACGACAGTGTGAAAATGGAGAAAAACATAAGATGAAGTGAAATGGCACAAACTCAAAAACACAACGTGAAATCAACAGAAAATAAAAAAAAGTTGCACCCTAAGAGAGCTGCAGGGAGACAGAGGGACCCAGGGCGGGTGCTACGTAGTGGGAAGAGGGTCTGGCTCTGCCCGGGCCCCTGCAGCTGGCAGCAGACACCGGTGCCATTCTGTGGGCAGCCCAGGCCCCTCCGGAGGGACAGGACCAGGCTCCTGCCCACAGCAGAGCCCCAAGAACCGTCTCGTCCACGCGGACGGTCCTGGTCCTCTGCTGCTCAGCAGAGCGGGTGCTGGCACAGCTCCGCTAACAAGCAGGAACTCATTAAGGGGCAGCAACTTCACCATCTGCTGTGGCTTCTGGGCACCAGCCACCTTCCCACGCGCACTCCGGGTTTGTCACCCAGGTTCAGGTGGTTCCACAGTCCCGTCCCAAAGCCTTAGTGTGTCCCCACCGCCTTCCCAGGCTGCACCGTTTCAAAGGGTGCTGCCTGCTGGGCTGGGGCCAAAGCACGGGGCGACGGTCTGCAGCCAGGCTGCTCCACCGCGAGCAGGATGAGGCACCCGCGAGCCCCTCAGGCGCGCAGGGCCGTGCTGGCCCGCGCGCCGGCCGCT